GGTCGTTCACTGTCTTCCCGCTTGTGCCTATCTTTATTGCTGACTCCTTTGCCCGTTCTCTACGCCGTTCCTGGGTTCTTCTCCTTACCCCCAGGCCGACAAGTGACACGTCTCTTTGGCCTTTGCCGTTGATTCCTTAACTCCATCGTGCGATTCTACCACCACGGGACAAAGGGACAACTATTTCGGCAATTCTAGCGGTAGCAGAAAAGTCAAGAAGACGTTATTCTCATCGTCCTTGTCAATCTTGTTGGCGCAGTAGCTGCCGCAGTCGTCGTCGTCATCATTGCTACTGACAGCATTGCTGTCGCATTTCTTTCTCTTTCCGGGTTTCTCTCGTCATTTCCCTCTTTTCGTCTTTGCTTCTCGTTCGTGACAACTCGTTGGGGCAGTTGTAAAGACAGCAGGGGCAGTTAGCGAGTGACATAGAAGTCTGCTGGGAGGCGAAGAAGGACCAGGCAAATTGGTGCTTCCTGCCAAGGCTTTCCGCTATCACCACTGCGCCTTACGCTTTGCATTGCTGTCGGTACCGCTGCTGACGGACGTCGGGATGCCGGGCCAATGCACGAGGTGCGGCAGTTGTAATGTCCGTAGCAAGTGAAATGCATACAGGCACGGCCTGTTTTGCGGCGGCGGTAGCCGCAGGGGGTTACGGTTAGGGCACGACTGGGATAGGGACTTTTACTATCCTGAGTGAAGCGATGGAACGGCACCGAGCAACGAGACCGTTCGCATCGTCCAGAGGGTAGGGGCATAGGGAAAGTGTTGTTGAAGGCGGCTGAAGCTGTAGCGCGTCAATGAGAACTACTAGCATGGGGAACGTGCTTCGTTTTGGGATCCTATTTCTTGCATATGTCGACAAGACCACTATACCCCTTCTATTTTTCCCGTTCAATGAGTTACCCCATCTAGAACCTAGGACATGTCATGGTTTCAGGGTCCGTTCGCGCAGTCTTTTTCGCTCAGGCCGACGCACGCCGCTGGTAATGCTGTCTGCTTTTTGCCATTTCTTGTCTCTTCATTGTAGCCTATTGTCGCGTACTGACTGAGAACAGGAAACTTAAATGTGGAGAGCTTAGAGAAAAAGATGAGTTCTGTGGCTGGTCCGTTTCAGAGAGGCAAGGCGATATAAATGTGAGTAGCCTATGATAGGGTAACGAGTAGGAGTTACGACAGCTAGCTAGCTGTCTTGGATAGCCTGTTTGGAGGGAGCCTGTAGCGACACGGATCTAGTCTGTCGACATCTCGTTGGGAAGTAAGGGGGTGCGAAAAATCCAAGAAAGTGATACTAAGAGAGATGGGAGAGAGAAAGAGAGAGAGAGAAAAAACACGTGAGTTTAAAGAAAAGAAGCCTATCGACCGACCGATGGCTGAAGTTAACCGCTGTAGAGTCCCTGCGGCAAGTCGACTAGTGTATCCGGACCGTGTCCTGGCGTGGTTTAGCTGCGCCTTTTCTGTACTGCATTGGCTGCATGGCTGGTTCTAGCACAAGCACGCATCACTGAGTGGCGGCATTTGAGTTGAAATATTTACCACGTTACCACTCGTCGGTAGCCTACGCAAGCCTCCATAAGCTGTCTTTTTCTGTCTGTCGGCTTTTCCCTGATGCATAACGCGGTCCACGCCTGTCTTGAGCGCCCTATAGCTAAACATTACCATTGGTAGGAGCGCCATCCCCACTATCGCAACCATTCCTATGGAATCTGATAGTTGTCCTTCCAGTCGGCTTCCTTGCGTTGTGCGGGGCCTATGCTCACATTCAGAGATGCGCAACATTTCCTTCAGCCGAAGCAGTATTCAGACCCAGGCGGCACGCCACGGTATACGACGCGAAGCGGAGAACACGCTCTATAAGCAAATTCTTTTTCTCGCGGAAAGCGGTAGAAGACAACGGCACTGGCAGAACGAGAGGGAGAGAGCGAGAGAGATCCGATATTGCGTGGTATGTTAGAAGTAGAAAATTACAAAATATCCGTATACACATAAAATATAAAAACATATTTTTATATATTTTTTTTTAACTGGAGTTAAAGTTGCGTCACTATATCAAATTGTATTAAAAAAGGGGCACAAAATGTTATATATTAAATGTTAAATATTAATATCCCGTCATACCTTTAGCAGGTTTTAGAGCTGAGCATTAGAGGTGAACTTCCAACTAGAAAAGGGTCAAACTAAAACTCCATCAGGCTGAGATGTAGATTAAGCAGTATCGTGTTGGATGATGTGATCTTCATAGAGAATATAGGTACTTGTAAACGCGCAGTGAGGTTTTTAGATGTGATCGCCACATTGACACAAGCATAGCACAGTTATCTACAAGTTTCTGCATTAAAGGTATGTGAAGATTCTAACATAATTAAGGTCCAGATGATTATTTTTCATGTTTATAATCAACACGTAGCCTTGGTTCTATTCTATGTACGAGTACACGTTTGATTCGTGATGCTCTGTTCATACGAATCAGTATTTCGAAAATGTCTACATCTCTAGCCAAAATGATCACTACTGGCCGACTATACTTTTTTTTACTGTTTTTACAGACAGACTTGAACCAAGTCAGCGTATCATAAGCTGTGAGAGGGTCTTTAAAAGGAACGACGTGTGTCAAATCGTCTGACAATCGCCCTATCTCTGTGCCGAATTGCGTATAAAAAAAGATTGATCTTTACCACACGCTGCTGTCTTCCCATATAGCGTTTCGTGCTGTTTGCATTTGCCTTGTTTTCAATGTCGTCCTTTTCTTTCAGTAGGCTGTCATTTAGTGGCCACGTAGCCGTCTGCCTGGCCCGCTCGCTTTCGTGGCTTTTTTGAGTTCGCTCTTTGATTCATTTCGTTTTCTCTCCCCGCTGAACGCAGTGGGAAGGCCAACCGCTTATTCCAGCCTTTTGCGGATTCCTATTCTAGATAGCGCGGTAGAATAAATGTACTAAAGTATTACGAATAGCAGCAATGAGTGCTAATGTGGGTCAGCCAACAAGCGGATGGAGCGGCCTTTCGTAGACGTTCAAGGGGGCGCAAATAGGGCGAGATTTAGAAAGAAAAGTCGAGAGAAGGAGAATGTGCACCGAAATTTGAATTGTAAATTACGCATGCGAGACTGTCGCTTGGACCAGTCTTGCTACGCCTGCTTTTACAGCCGTTGTTACTGCCCCACTGGCTGCCTGCTGCCTCTAATACAGCCAAACACCTCCTCACCGTCCCCTGGCCCCAGCGCTTACGACCATTTCCTCCTCTTGTTCACCAACCTCTTCATGGTACTACTGCAGGTCTCCAACATGCATTTGCCTCTATGTACATCCAAGTACCCCTGAAGTCTCCTTCGTACGAAGCCACGAGCTGCTCCACGTTTTCCTTGACAATCTTCTCCTAGGTTTTTTTTCGTTCTTCTCACCTACTCCTATATGCTGTAGACACCCCTTCAGCTCTACAAAGCAACTGCTGTACAGCATTTATTCACAGTAAAGCAAAGCAGTGACATAGCGCTTACCCCCCCCCCCCTCCCCCGCCCCCGACCGGTCAAGTCATAGACGAGAACAGACTTTGAAGCAGAACAAAACGTGAACGCTAGATAAGTGTAGTTACATTTGTTGTGCGCGGTGACCAGCCTTTGGAGTGTAGCCACTACAAGTGCTGCTGTTGCAGGTTCATTGCGGCATGGGAAGATGCGAAAACAGGAAGAACGACCTGCTGAAAAGTGTCGGCTGCTGGCTTTCTAAACAGAAGCAGCAAAAGTGAGTATTGGCAACGGCCTTTCTAATCCTACTGGAGCGCAGTCGCGCCTCGACGAAGGCAAACCACTTCCGTCCTACCCACTGTAATTGTTTGGTCATGTAGAAGCAATGCATATGTTGACTGATGCACCGAGCACCTAAAGAAGGGCCAGAACCACCTTGTTCTAGGAAGAGGGGCGATAGTAGCGTTAGCTGCTCAGCGTCAATAAGCCATCAAACTCGGGCTGCCAGACGGTTAGAAGGTTCTGAATAATTCTGAGCCTTTGTTTGTTCGTGCCTTGTCTTTTCCCGTCTGTACACATATCGCTCGCCGCATCGAAACGGTCGGCTGTCTCGTCTTCTTTATCGGATATTGTGCGGCATCTAGAAAAAGCTGAACACGATAGAAAATCTTCGTTATACCCACATAATTCCAGTGTTCATTGTGTGCAGTTAGGCGCTGAGCCATAAACATACGCATTGAGAGACCTTGTCCTAATGAATAAACCACAGCAGAAGATGACTATGTTTTTTTTCTCACATGAAGCACTGTATAAAAAATGTAACGTGACATTTGTCTATCTTCGAGTATCACCTAGAAGTAAATCTTTCGTGGAAATAGGCATCTATTTTGTGCTAATAAATTGCTATTTGCTGGATCCGTATTGCAAAAATTGTTTCTGTATATTATATAGAAAAAGTTTTAAATTCTATTGACTAGAGATCGAACGACACTGCTGGGCCTCTAGCTGTATGAAATAAAGATATATATCTATACTTGTATATATCGATTTTTAACACATGTGTAGAATGAGTTCTTACTTTATAGATTGCCATGATGCCGTTAGTTACTATAAATATTTACAATGAATCAGACGTTTGCTGCATAAAACAGCTCCAATAGAGACTGACAATAGGTAGTCGTATTAACTGCTTAAACATATCTCGTACGGATAGAACCTGTTAAATGCTCTACCTTTTTGAAACCTGTATGAAGTTGTTACTTCATAAATAAGACTGAGCCATAAAATCATGCCATCTCTTCGAGTTTATAGTTGAACGTAAATAGCCGAACTACATTATTCTTATCATGAATATATAATAGTAGCTTCCGCAGAATGTACAAAGGCTGTTAAGGAATATTTTGTAACAGCATAACATTTTGTTGTTTTAACTGATTTGTAATTGTAAACGGTATTAATTTGACATTGAGGTTCCACTGAAGCCACTAATCCATAATAGGGCTCTTCTTCGTTGTAACACTGTCACTATGTTATACATTTGTAGGTGAGCAGTCGCTGTACTATGTAGGCCACTCGCAAGGGACAACGATAATGTTTGGCCTTTTATCGATAAAGCCCGAGTATCAGGACAAAATTAAGGCTTACGTCGCACTGGCACCGGTTGCTAATGTCACCACGATCACATCACCTGTGCGCTGGTTGGCGCCGTTCGCGAACGACTTGAGCTGGATTCTTGAGTGGCTTGGAGATGGTGAGCTGCTGGGTAACTCGAAGCTGATAAAGTTCCTTGCTAGCACATTATGTACTTTCTCAGTCTCTAAGGGGCTATGTGAGGACGTAATCTTCCTGGTATGTGGCATAGACACTGTGGAGCTCAACGTGACTCGTATTCCCGTCTATATTTCTCACACGCCTGCTGGTTCATCCGTGAAGAACATTATCCATTTCGCCCAAGAAATTCGCGCGAGGAGGTTCCAGATGTACGACTATGGAGCTTCAGAAAACCAAAAGCGGTAAAAAAATAACGATCTTTAAATAGCCAGCAGATTTGGTATCTCATGGGAATAAGCTACTACCTCGGCTGAGCATACTTCAGTTGTGGGTATTATTAATTTATTAGAATTCATATGTATTAATAAATAAATCTGAACACTTGAGCATGAACAGCTTGACACATACGACATAACAATGAAAAGCTTAATTTCCCGACACACATAGTTTTTGAGATATTTCATTTTTATAGGTTACTAGATTGCAAGATTTCGGAGCCTTTTTAACCCACCCAGTGTTTAGCGTTCAAGTGCTGCAGATAGAATACTACCTAGTACTAATATTATTGCCGTAAACCGCATACATTCGCTTTTCACTGGCTATTCAATTATTGAAAGCGGTTAAACAAACAAAAAAAATTAGAAACTGTCTTCCCAAATGGCTTTTACTTCCAATACGACACAACCTGGCTCAGAGACTAAGAGACATATTGTCTTCATGGCCGTGGCATCCCCTAGCCATTGCATTTTATAATACCTACCCTAACGCAATTTTGATGGCGTGGGAACCGGTCACCGCTTAAACTTCTATCTACATTTTTTCTTAGTTCATCAAAATTTGCCTCTAACTTTTAACTCTTTTGATACCGACTGTTACCTTCTCCATGTGCTCTCAGACATCGTCCAGAAGCCGATAATTGAACCTTTTACGAATCACTAGACTGGTGTACACGCATAAACACAAATATATTCGTAGATCTACCGTTTGATATATACTTAAAGGCAATTTATGCCAAAAATTCGCCAGCCTTAAGAAGTCATGCAATTTAAGTGAAGACCTATTGTAATGCGTTGTAGCTTCTTTCAGTCGCCGAGGCGCCTTTACGCCATAGTATGTGCATGCACGCAGCTTTGAGTCACGGCAAATCTTTTTCATTTTACTGTATATATATACACATTGGCCAAACAGACACGACGCAGCTATCCTAGGCAGACGCAGCTGCTTGTAGAGAAAGCTCGCATCGCTCTTCTGCGAATTTCGTAGCTTCTGCAAACAAGCCAAGGCCTTTGCGTTCGTCTCTCTAAACAGCAAGTGCATTTAGAACCGTGCAAAGGTAGAAAAACGATCACCAACGAATGCGAAAAGGCGCTAAATGCTCCTCTGTCTTCCGTTGGAAGCGAACGAGAAAAAAAGCCCTCCGTTTATTTCTTATACCAGCCCCACATGTATACGCATCTCTGGCATAAGGATCTGGTATGTACTCAGGCCTCCAGCTGATGCAACTACTACAGCTGCTACGGGACGTTCAACATTATGCCCGACGGCTTTCATCTAACCTGCCATCTAGCCGTTCCGCCAGTCCCCCACTGCGACGGGGGCCTGCACGCCCTCTCTATCCTGCTCTACGTTTCTCTCCTTATGCCTGTTTTAGCTCCCCTCAATCCGCTGTTTCTCCGCTGAATATTCGATGGGAGTTAGTCACTAGAATCACCGCATCGTCTATTTGAAGACATTGAATATTCCATTTGCTCGCCCGTACCTCTCGACGGCGGCAGCTGCTCCTGTTGCTACGACTCCAGCTTGGGCTACTTCCTGCTCCTTGCTTTCCGCTCGTTACCGTTGCTTCACTCTGCCGCATGACTAAGGAAAAAAAAGCAAGCAGAAGGACGAAAGGAGCCGACGAGGAGGTATACTATATTACTACTTCAGCTGTTAGGAGATAGTATGGTGCAGCAGCGGGCGTGCCACTTTCCGTCGGCCAATGTATGGACCTCCTCGGACTAGGACTAAGTCTGGCGGCTGACACCGCTACTGCTGCTGTCTCTGAATAGTTTCTCAGTGCCTGACCCCGGAGGGCAACTTCGAGCAGTTGGTTGCTTGCACACCCAGGCGCTAGAAAACAGTGCCACCTAAGCAGTACAACGGCAGGGAATAGGTAGCGGAATTTAAGCTTACGTCTCGTTCACGCGCGAACGGCGCGAAGCACGGCAGAAGAAACAAGGGCCACTTTTCGACCCCCGGGCAGCACAATGACTGCGACACCAGCTAGCCAATCGCTTTGCCTTAATATAGACTTCGCAAAATAGCCGCATCTGAACAACAAACGAATAGGATGAAAATGGGGTGAGAAGGAAGTGGCAATGAAGATTAGGGATAAGAGCTAACAGTGCTTTGGTAAGGAATCAGTTGGCGACCTAAGGGAAGAACAAAAACCCAAACGAGACAGCAAAAGACGGAGACGAAGCTGGGTAGGTGAGCAGCAATGTAAACTGATGGACTCACCCTGCCCACGCAGAGACCACTAGAGCCATGGTGTACACACACGAGTAAGATGATTTCGTAAAAAGAGGACATTTCAAGGGAAACAGGAAAGGATGAGTGGTGCAAATAAAATCATACAAGGGTTAAACAGAACACCGAGAAGGGGTTTGATGTACACACTATATATATATATATATATATATGGTGTCCTTTAAGTGGCCCGGTTTCTCCTTTTCACTTTCCTATTTTCTATAGTTCGCCTGCTAATTGTCTAAGGTTGTGCTGCAAAAGAAAATTTAACACAAGAAGGCATATGCACAGTGATGATTGATGCCCATCGTTTCTTCTAGCTCAAAACTTTTATTTTCAAGCTGGTAGAAGGGCAGGCTTACTGTTACGGAAATTCTAACATGCTTTCATACACATCCATAGGTGTTCCTCTAAGTATTCGTTTTATTTATTATTTCGCGGATGTTACAGTGTTTGCAAACAGTTGTCTATAAACACAACTCCGACCATAGTTTCTCTGTGTTTTTACAAATGCCTATTTTGTTTTTTCGTCGATTCTCCTTAGGTACAACCAAACCAGACCACCGCAATACGACATTACAAAGATTACCAAGACGCCAATCGCCATTTATTCCAGTAAAAATGACTGGTTTGCGGATCCTGCTGACGTCAACATACTACGAAAAAAATTGCCCAGTCTCGTTCACGATTATAGGGTAAGAAGAAACAGATGTCTTCGCGAAACAAACCTGTTTCATAAATCTGTCACCTGTCTTATCTGACTTCGCTAGATAATTTTTACGTACGTAGCATAAGAGGGAAATGGGGATGAGATTTGCCAATCAGGGCCGTAGAAATTGGCGCTACACCGCGACCATAGCTACTGTGTTTATGCGTTATTTGTAACATAATGTGTTATCACAGTGTTAAAATCACATACATTCTCTAAGTAAAATTTTACGTGTTCGTGATGAAATTCATGGAACCTTCGTAGCATATTTAAGAGCCACTATAGAGAAGGGTTTGCTATATATAGGGCTACATCGTATATGCCAACTCAGCTATCATTTTGTTTAGAAAAAGGCTCAACGTTCTGGTCAGCAGTGAATCTGAAAATTCAGTGATGTGATCTTATATGTGAAAAAGGTCACATGTTGTCTAATGATAGGTTTTTTCCACGGTATAATTTATACATTGTCTTCAAAAAATGCCATTGATCTGTTTTTTGCTTTTTGCTCTTCCGTGCGTTATTATATCCATAAATGCACCCATATACGTATGCATTTAGTACCATCAAGTATTTTAGGAGCGGTACGTTTTCTTTTGTTAGGCTGTCTTTTGCCTTTTACCTCACCCCAAATCTTCTTTCCGTTTGGTGCATATTATTGGCTCGATTGGTTAAGGTTAGCACTGTTATTATATACAAGGTAAGAATCGCCGAGAAACCATACTGCTGATGTTGTTATTGTTTTACGTTTTGTAAATTTGAAACTGCTCAACTTACTTTATGACAGCTCTTGTTCACGCTCGTAACGATTTCAGGTGTCTGAAGCAAAGTTCACTCATATCGACTTTCTGTACGGTGTTCGCGCTAACACGCTGGTGTACAAGGACGTGCTAAGTTTCCTTGCCAGTTGCAAAACAGTTATAAACAGCCGACATCCCGTAAACTCAAATTCATCTTGCCTCCCCAGCACTTAAGCATTTCTCCATACGAACACGTTTATAAATCAATCATTAAGTGATGCCTACTTTTATTCTATTTGCTAGTAATTGCTCATGCGGTACATGACCACTACCATCTTTGACACCGCTTTCAATATTGTCTTAGCGAGAGCGTTTGCACCTTTTCATGTCCACACCGCCCTATTTTTGTTTTATCCTTTTGACCGGTTTTTGTGCGGGGTCAAAGCCTTCACTAGGACTGCAGATCTTTAGAACAAATGCGTACGCCTGGACTGGCAATCTTGAACCCTTTGCCCCGCCGTGCGTCGTTGATGCAGGGAAACAAGGGGAGGAAATTTGAGGGAAAGGGTAAGCGAAAACCGCCTGGGGGTCCAACGAGAAAATTGAAAAAAGTCTCTCATTCCTTGTCTGTGTCGGATCTTCGATGACAATGGCAGTGGTAACCTCTGCTACCGCAGGCGGCGGGCGGCACAGGAAATATATTGAAGTCGACAGATTGCTAACCTTTGCTTTCTCAGGAAACTGCTATTCCCAAAGTATACGGCTGATAGAAGAAATACTTCATCGTTATCAACAATATCATCAACATTGTTAGACTTTGCCCTTTTACACGATAAATCAACAATGGCGCAAAAATAAATAAATAAGTAATCTATATGATATTGAATGAAAATCATGATTGACTTGTTCAGTTATCTAGAACTTAAGAAGTTACTGCGAGTTTGTGTAGGTTTATGTGTGTTTGTTTACGAGCACTTAGTAGCCGTATTGAGTGCGTCGCCTGTTATTTTTAAATCTACGTCGACCTCGTCCTCTGGCTTCGTTAGACGGGTCTGATAAGAATCTAGAAATCGGTTTTCACCCTCTCACCGTGCCTTGAAAAGACCGTCGGCCTAGCTAGGCAACTGCAGTTCTGGCTTTGTAAGTCGTAAGGAAGATCAGAAAAAATATTTGGGATAGACTATACCTGATAGTAACATGCACTAAAACGCACATACTAACATTACAAGCTAGCTTACAGGTGTACCTTCGAAATAGGCTCTAAAGGACGGCGGATTATCCAAGGAGAAAAAAAGCCTGGATTAGTTGCAATCTCTCTCAACTCTACAAACGTTTCACATATGTGATTTTTACAGAAACATTTTTAAGAAAGTTATTACTAGAGGTTACTCGTAACAAAAAAAGAAATAGCAAGTTATGCTTTCATAACGGCGGTAGTGATACAGCACGAGCAAGTCTCGAGAACAGATTTGCCTTATAAAGGCTTAGTGGTCCTTTCTTTTCAAAGTCTTCTAATATAAGCGTTTAGGAAGAGTGACTGGGCATCGATGTAATTGAATAATCTTTATGAGATTTGTTTGATAGCTTAAGAATTGCAATAAACTGAGATATATGTACGCAAAAGTGTACAGATGTATCTCTCTGGTAGGGATATGCCTTAAATACCATACCTTAAATGCTTCCAGGTTCTGCCATAGGAGAAGTCCAAACCCTAACTAGGACCGTAATCATGACAGCTGACTTTAGTTATGGTACTTAGAATATCTGGAAAATGCTGGTGGCTAATCTCCCGAATCAACGTAGCCGCTCTTTTTATATTCCGGCGAAATCTTAGGAATCATATTATAGCATCGTTCGCTCGATATTAAGCTTATTCCTTTTTTCTATTATAATATATTCTTTCTCTGCTAGAGTCAAATTTAGATCCAGAATAGGTTAATAGTAATACTAATACTCAGCCAAATCTTCTGAGCAAGTCAGCGTTCGTTGGCTTTTGATCGTCATAAGCTTGCTTTGATATAAAATTAATTTCACGATAGGAAAGGCCCTCAGAGTTGTATGACTTACATAATAGACAATTGACTTTATGACAAAGCCATACATTCACAAAAGGAAATCTTCTTCGTAGCAGGGTTCAAATGAGACGCATTTAGTCTCGCGTGGATCTCCTGATACGATATCCCGGAGGTACTATCCGCTAATTTAAAGACACCATCTATATGTGCTTACTCAAAATTAGTACAGATTTTCTTGAATTTCTGTCGCTCCTTTCGTCAGTTGCTTTTAAACACAGCCTTAATGTTGAAAACTTGTGTTAGAAAAACAGCATATCTGAGGAGATAAACATACGGATAGACTGTCTGTCTAATTAGCTACGCAGGAAACGTGTTAAATGATCACTTCTTGCATATGTTTGTATAGAACGCGTCTTTAGATGGGCAGATATTTCGTAAGTGTTATAGACTCCTAATAAGCTAAATCCGATAGAAAAGAAATTTAAGTTTATATTACATAACTTCTTGCCTAGAATTTCAAGATAACATTTACAGACCCTTTAGACGTATCCACGGTAATATAAATACTATGGCTTTAATTAGTAGACACTGAAAAACACACAGAAAACGTTTTACTTTTGATTTTGAAACAAATCGCTATGATATCTTTTACCCTAGAACCAAGCACACCATTAACTAAAGGAGTAACATTTTGCATTATGCTCTCACCCAGCCGTAAATGTTAGTTCCTAGTACGCTGAAAACCCTATAAAACGTTAACAAAGCAAATTTCACAGATTATAGCCCGAATATATGACAAAGCATACTTATAAGGCTAGAGCTGTATCAGCAAAGTCTAACCTCTTATTCTGTTTGTGTAATACCTCAGAAGAGTTTTCTTTGGGTTCGCTATATGACGCGCTAGATGACTTTAGGAAAAGTCCAAGTTTATACACACACACAATTCACTACATCACAAGTCCTGTCAAGGAAAGTCGGATCCTGTTAAAGAAGGAGCTGACCAGCTACTGGGCGGATTAGGTTAAGCTGGGTTAGGTCAGCCGACCCGTGCCCGGTCAGCTGGTGATTCTCGAAGTCTAGTTATGAATTCCAGAAGGAAAACAGCGCGACCTTCTGCTCATCTATTTTGTATTTTTGTGTAGGCCCTTTTTCTTCTACTACTATAGACGAGATACGAGGCTAAGTCACTGGAACGACTTAATCCACAGGGTAATTCTACGTAACATTACAGCAGCGAAGCGTTTGGCGCCACAGATTTGAACGAGGAACTGACCTCCCCAGTATGTTCCTTGCCTACGGCTCTTTGCGACCTGGCATTTCTGGTTACGACGACAATAGCACAGTTTATACAAGCCATCTTGTTTATTACTTGAGATTGCTTTTACTGACCGAAATAGAATCAGTAATAGGCTTTAATCTGGGCTGTCAAATTTGTATTTTTGTAAAATTGGCCACACCACATGAAAAACAAATGTGGTGATTCGAAGAAATGCTTACGTAACGCACGCACTTTCCACTGCTAATTTAGATAAATCAGCTTTTGTTCGATACAAACTTGGACAGAGCGAAAGAGAAGGAGTAAGTCACGCTAAGAAGAGATATTCCTGAGACATTAGTTGTTAAACAGTCCAATAGCGTAACGATACGCGTCGAAAGTCACTTGGGTAAATGTGGGTTCATAGAAACCGAGATTTCACAGGGAGAGACAGACCATAGTCTTGAGCTATAGAGAAACGAGCACTCGCAGCTACTGGAGCTGAATCAGGCTAAACGCTAAGGAAGAAAAAACGGAAAAAAGGTAGACAATTGCTTCTGCTCTTGCTACTGGGAACGTGGTTGGTTACCGGGGGCCAGTACTCAGTGATGGCGGCCTTTTCTCTAGTTGCGACTATACGTGGAGCAGATCACTCTAGGTATTGGGGTTGAGTTGCCCCGCTCTGTTTGCTGAAATTGTTTGATTGTTCTGTGATGCTGGTTGATTCTTTTCTATTAGGTTTGACTCTACGTGAGTTTAGTTTTGCGTACTAGTTAAGAACAGACTTTTCGTCATTTAAACATTGGCTGCTTTGGCTATCTTTGCCTAGCTTGCCGTGATGGCCCTGATTCCCTTTGTGCGTCTAGGTTTCCACGGCCTTTTAGTCGCCCGCTAAATATCGTCCGTTGCATATGTACGTGTCTACGTAAGGTCGGTTGTGTGTATGCAGCAAAGGAAGGACCTCGCTATAGTTGTTCAACGAGTTTTTGAAACAGACTGAATTACCCCTAAATCCCCCTTCCATACCGCCCACCCCAGAACACTAACACTGTTATTCCCTTTTTTCGTCAATGGTCATACAATATCTTTGAACACATACCACGTACGCTGACCCTGAGACCCACACGTACACACACAGAGACCCTGTAGTGTGCGACCGGTTCCAACGAGCACATAAAAATCAGTGTCATTTCTTTTCCTGCCAAGACCATAACCACTCCCAGATCTTTCTCTTTATTTATTTTTTTTTTGCTCCTTACCGTATTTCTACCTAGTATTCAGCCAGAACGCTGATTTCACTGTCGCATCCGTCACAAATTGACCAGCCATTCAAAATTGTGCTGACGCTTGTGAGCGGGGTCCATAACGTTGACACTAGATACAGCGGAATTCCATTCCAAGCAAAGGAAAAGACGTTACGCAGTCTTTGTCCCTATAGAAATGCTGTGACGTGCGGTCACCCGTCGTGGCTGTAACACACCCATTTGACCTAAGTATAGAGGGGAAATCAGTTTAGAGGCTCAATTTTGAAACACATGGCCTGAAAATCGGTTTATTGCAAGAAAAACTGTTGTTGAATAAGATGGAACATCATTACCGCTATCAAAACTTTTCTTTTAAATTTAATCTAAGGACACGACATCGCAGCGTGCACATTTCTCGTATGCGTTAGGTATATAAGCGCCAAAGGAGGTGTTGCTCACCGGTCACCATCTTGTACTGCACACTATGCTCCGCCATTGTTCTAGAAAGCTCGGCCCATGCGCTAAACTGGGACGTACCGGAAATAATAGAGAAAAAAGAATGCCGCAATGCTATAAATCCCCAAGCTAGACAAATCCCCAATGATTTGTTGAGACTGCAAAGCCGCTTCGGAGGAACAGCCTGTTCAATTGTTTCCGACCAACTATCTGACCATTTCAATGACATGCCAATCCGAGGAATCTCTCTCGTCGAACTTTGAATCGAGCAGCAAACGGAAAATAGGCACATAGCAACTGAATTCACGTAGCAAGATTGGACAACGCGTTGCTATGGTGAAGTACAAGATGTATATGGCTAGTGCAAGACATCGGCCACCTTCTGCGTTATCTTTCAGTTGAACTTCATTACTCACTTTAATTGGTGTCGATATGTTGTTGAAGCATAAATTGCTACCCACAGTAAACCATTTGCCTACAGGTGAGGCTTGAATTTAAGTTCAATATGTGTTTCCATCGTATTCATTCATCATTTATCGGCAACGCGAGTCTTTCGCTCTCTACTCTGTCAACCTTGGTCTTAACTTAAGTTAAAAACTTTCGTTCGGAGACTAATAAATCTATAACACAGCAATAGTCCGAGTCATTAGTAGAAATATCGATATTACTACTGACCCTCGGTAAGCGACCGTCTGACGCTTCCCAATCGCTTTGGTTTCTACACCTCGTTGCTCTATGCGCAATATCTCTTCGTTCGCTCAATTGCGATATTTGTTTTTCTGGTTCGGGCAGTGCTACCCGCTTCGAGGCCGTTTTTACTTTATTTTCGCATGCTTCATGCTCTACACAATTCCGTAGCCGGAGCGATCGCCTGGACACGAGAAAGCGATATAAAAAAAAGCAGGTTCTCTTGGGGAAGTTGTTTCCATTCTTAAATCCGTAGCAGTTTATTTATGGCGACTACGTCGATGGCTCCTGTACTTTTGGCCGGCTCCTGTCCGGTAACCCTGTCAAGGTACATCCGTGACACGCTCCCCTTGAGCTAACGACTCTCTATGCTTTTTTGACTCTGTTCAAGTTTGTCTGCCGCCCAAAAAACAAACAGGATAATTAACTCGTTCATTTGGAGTTTGTTTATCGTGAATTTCGATTTCTGGGTCGATTATAGCTACGCTACTCAAACCATTTGCAAGCGATATTTGAGGATGGTACGTTGCTACATATTTCCAGCGGTCTCGAACTAACCGCGTTTGAAACTGGGCTGCTAGCGACCACGAATAGTTTGATACAAGCTAAGGAAACTACAAAGGCACAACTAGTGTCAATTTGCCAATTGTGCTTTTGCTTCGACTCGAAATTCTGAGCGTTTTCTACTAGGGCTATAATCGTAGCTGCTTTCTTTTTTATCCCCGTGCCGCTTCTTCCCTTCAACGCTTGCGATGCAAAGGTTTGCAGTGATTTCCAGGACCGCAATCATCGCAAGCCTCAAGTAGAAGGTTACGTTACAATTTCTTCATGCCTGGCTGTCTTTCCAAACTCCGTCGTCTTCAACTTATTTTTTATACCACT